CGATCCCTCCTATGGGATTTGGCAGGCTCAGCCCTGAATAACCAGCTGCTTTGCCACTTCCCCTGTTTGATCTTACTAAGGCTTCTCTCCCCCCCTCACCGCGCCACTTCTTCAGATGGTCTCTCTTTTACGTTATTTATGTTTGCACTATTAATTTACTTTTTAAAAAAGCAAGTTTGTGCTTTTCCCACCTTATTTGACATTTTTAACGGGAAAGAGAAGCCAGAGAAATCGTGCTCAACCGTAGAGTGAAGGCGACTTTTCATGTTATCTGGTGGATTCTTCTCACTCTGTCTACAAAGGACTGTACCCAAACTCACTGAAATACAGTAATTAGGACTCCTGCAAAAACAGAAAATTGACCTGAGGATGTTTGAGAGGCAGAGGAGACTGGGACTGCATCTGTCATGAAGACCCCATTCAGAGTATGTCTGGGATAAAACACCTCAGCAGAGGAACTCGGCTCAGTCCACTGCTTCTCACCCTGGTGCTTAGACTGCAACCAGGTGTGCACCACATCCACCCAATGGCAATGCTGGAGGTGGAAAAGGCCAAAAGAGCAGAAGTGGTGCCAGCAGCAACAACCAACCCCACCGAGCCTTGAGCCCTGTCCATACTGCAGTCTTAAAAACCATTCCTCCTTGGGGTTCCCATCTTTGGTCTTGTGTAAGGACATCTGTTAAAGCACTGGTTCTTAACCTTGGGTTACTCAGGAGTTTTGGACTGCAACTCCCAGAAGCATTCACCACCAACTGTGCTGGGGTTTCTGGGAGTTGCAGTTCAAAAACATCCGAGTAACATAGGTTAAGAACCACTGTGTTAAAGGAGACCAAGGACATGCAGGCCTCCTTGGAGTAACTCAGGGGCTGGATCAAACTGTGACTTTGCAGAGGAAAGTGCTATTAACTTTGGCGCTGGGAGAAATGACAGGAGTAAGTGAACTTCTGGGGCTGTTACTGCATTTTTCCATGTATAAGATTCCCCCCCCCCACTTTTCTAACCCAAAATTAAGAAATCTAAGCCCGCTTAGCAAGTGGAGGGGGAAAGCAGGGATCAAAGCGCTGCAGGATCACTTTGATCCCTGCTTCCCCCCCTTTTTTTCTAAGACCGCTTAGCAAGTGGAGGGGGAAAGCAGGGATCAAAGTACTTTGATCCCTCCCCCTTACTTCTGTGTATAAGACAACCCTCAATTTTTAATCTAAAGATTTTAGACAAAAGTATCATCTTATACACAGAAAAATATGGTACCTCCCCTCCCTGTTTTACAATAAACCCATTGACGCCAAGATAAAACCCTTGAGTTAATGGATATGAATGTGGAGGAAGGATTGCCTGCCAGCCCCACAAGGTGGGTGCGAGGACAGGGGGTGCACAATTTCTTTGTGTTTTGCTACCTCTCCAAAAGACACATAAAGTACTAATCTGCAGAATGCTCCTGTATCTGAAGTCATATAGAAAATCAGTCTGTTCTGCCGAGCCTGGAAGTTACTTTCTAAGAATTCAACCACCAGAATTTTCTGGATAGCATGGAATCTGGAGGATTTTGATAATTTTTTGGGGGGAAAAGTAATTTCCTCAGGTTGAACTCAAAAACTTTAGTTGGAACATATTCATGTGTATTATGTTAAAGTTAAGACAGTAGCATATATAGCAATGTTGGAACCTTTTCTACACTGGTTTCATATTGTATTTGGGCCCAACTCAGTTCTGTCACTAGAACTGGAAGGGCAATTCCCTCTCTTCCCTGCATTGTCCTGTCCCCCCCGCCACACCCCTTGGATGTGCTCTGGAGCAAGTTTTTGAGTGATTCAGGGAGAAATACAATCCAACCACTAGTGCTAGAATGGCATTGCATTGATGGTAATACATAAAGGTTTTATTAATGAATATTATTATTCAATATTTATCAATCTGTATTAAGTGCTATAAAATTTAAGCAGTGATGTTTTCTTATTGGTACTATTAATTTAAAAGTGGATTTTGCATATGTAACTGCTGTCAGTGTAAGGATGCCCTCTGGTGGGTGATATTCATAATAGCAAAGTATTACTAAATTAGTTTTTACCTTACTTAGTTTTTTCCCATCCCCAGATTCGTCTGGGGATGGGGAAAATCTGATAATATTGCTTTCCCTCATGTTTAAACTAATTAAATCTGGTGCTCTTTCTGCATAAAATATGACAGATTCTGTTAATTTTGCTTAAATTCTGGCCGCAAACAGATTGAAATACTCGCCACCGCCATCACTGCTATTTATCCTGTTCTGTCCCTCCAATTAAGGTGGTATATGCCCCTCTCTTCCCTGCATGCCCTATCCTCTTCGTTAATTTACCCTTGCAGCAACTTGTGAGTTAGGCAGGCCTCTAGCTTTGTAATACGGGACAGCCATATTTCTATGCGGGACTTTCTCTTTTTTTAGAGAGGCACATAGCACCAATTAACAGACACACCTCTCACTGATTGAGAAAACGAAAGGACTAAGATACTGGAAGGGAAATGCCATGACTCTTCTCTTCTCCTCCATGCAGAAAGTGCATTGACTTACATAATGAATTATCCAAAGATCAAGTTAGCAGAAACTAGTACAGTGCGGTCTCTACTTAAGAACGTCCCTACTTAAGAACAATCCAACTTAAGAACAGCTCCATTTGCTAAATTTTGCTTCTACTTGAGAACAGAAATCCAAGAACAGGAAAAAAAAACCTTTCCTGCTCTTTTTTTAACCTTAGGTCATCTTAGGTTAAAAAAAAATTCTCCCCCTAGTGGTAGAGTACGTATTAACCAGCTTAGCATTAGCTCCTATGGGAACTAATGCTTCAATGTACGAACACACCTCTACATAACAAAAAAAACAGCCAGAACGGATTAATTGGTTTTCAGTCCATTCCTATGGGAAATTTTGCTTCAACTTAAGAACGTTTCAACTTAAGAACACCATTCCAAAACGGATTAAGTTCTGAAGTAGAGGTTCCACTGTAGTTTCTATGGACGGAAAAGAGCAGATACGGATTAAATGGTTTTCAATGCAATCCTATGGGAAATGCAGATTCAACATAAGAACTTTTCAACTTGAGAACCACCTTCCAATACGGATTAAGTTCTTAAGTAGAGACCCCACTGTACAGGCATTTTCCCTGATTTCACTCCTCCCAGGGAGCCTGGCTTTGATAATGCTCAGAGCCATACATTCTGGAAACAGAGAGGGAGTACTGCTGGTGGGCTGTCCTCTTTCTTGGTCTAACTAAAAAAATAGCATTCAGGGATTCAATTATGTAATGAAGCCTTAAACATCTGGAGGAACAAACATTCAGCCTGCCTCTCACCGCTCAAGTGGTGGGGGTTGGCAGGATATAGAAAGGGTCCCTGATAACGAGGGAGAAGTTTCAATCCTATATTAGTAACCCAAAACTAAGTTAATTGAACTAATTGGCACTGACTTCTGAAATTGCATTGCTGAGACAGCAAAATTCAAACTACTATGCTCTGGAGTGACTGCTATAAAGCTAGCCTAGCAAACTGTGTTAGATTTTGCCCAACAGCACCATCACATTATCTTACCCTTTTGTGGGGGAGAAAACTATATATACCTCTAAAGAACTGTATGGAGTAACAAGCTAACGGGAAGATTATAGGATTAGACTGCATTTTGTTCATTTCCAAAAGTCCCTGGACGAAGAATCGTAAAGAATAGTTATGCATGTTGCAGTTAATGTAGTTTATTAATCCACTGTAGCTGCTGAGGCTCCCTTCTACAGGAGCCTTGGCTGTGTAGTTTGTTGAGGTGCTTTTGTGTTATCTGCTGTAGTGCATAGGAATGCACTAAAGCTCTCTAGCTGAAAATTCTGTATACTTCATTGAATGACTCTACAAATGCAGAGATCCCATTGGATGGAGCTATGACAGGTAGAGTGGTATCAAACTGCTATTACTGTGTAGTGTAGATCCACTCCTTGAACTGAATGATCCCACAGATAATCTTGGGTGACACAATTTGTATTTTGCTCCTTCTGCCATGCAGCTTCTTAAAACTTACCCTGGTGGGCTAGGGGGTCTTCCAGAAGAATCTGTGGGTTAGTGCTAGAGGCTTATAGGAGAAAGCCATTCTGACTTACTCCTCCAGTAGAGAGCTACTCCTGGATCCCTGGAAGAAGTCCTTTTCTGTTCATACAGGGACAATTCTGGATGAAGTCCAATGGATACAATTATATCCCTGTTTTTAATAACATTCATCATCTCTAAGAAGCAATTGTAAGCCTGGGATCATTTAACTACATTTAGGACTGTGAAGAGGAGCCTAATGTCACAGTCAAGCCTGGAAGTGAGCCGTCCTCTTAACTGTCTGGGGCAGAAAGTGTCAGAACCCTTTTATCCACCTTGCCTACGAGGACGGAAGACCTAATTGTAGGGGGACGGCTGACTGAAGAGAGAGAGGAAGAAGAAAAGGCAGGAAAAGGGAAGGAGGTGATAGAAGGCTTCTTGATGACAGGAGAGGGAGAGACGGAGAGAGTGGGAAGCTGGAGTTCAGAAAAGTGGATTGGACTGGAAAGAAAAATAAAGGAGGGAAATAGTGCAGGGCCACAGAAGGAAGAGGAACCCTATGTGTTTTCTGTTCCTCAGACAGAAGAAGGAAAGAGGAGGTGGCTATGCGCCGGGACGAGGAGGTCCAGGATTAGAAATACAATTGGGGGAAGTAGATCCTTTAGAATGGACCATGTATGTATATCTGAAAGGGAAGGGTCCCTGGAAGAGGGTGGTGGGACCAGACCCTATTCCAGCAACGCAGACACTGTGTGAGGGAGATTGGGCTTGAACACCCGTGCTGTGGAACGAT